AAAAATGTGTAGCTGTCTGGCGCCGGCATTATGTCGCCAGCCAATTTTTTGACACTAAAACAGCTTAGAATTTTCCTGTATTGCCTTCCTTTTTCACGCGCTTTCCTCGAATACCACTTTTTTTGTATGTAGATCGCTCGTCTATTTTACAACGCTTTTATTTCGTCGCTCATCTTTCTGCAAACGTGCATACGTCACAAATCGCTTGGGTCAGGCGAGTTCACATTTCACTTATTGACATTCGTACCAAAAATAGCCCAAATGCTTTTATTTGTAGATATTTTTTTTGTCATTTTCATCTTCTTTCTGCACATACGTACGTGGGCTTTCACCGAGCTAAGCATTTTAAAAATACATACCTTTTCGATATGCTAATCACACTCACCTTCGGCAGGCATCGCACAGTGTACGATTTTGGAAAAGAAGGACAAAATCAAATAAGAGATAGCGAAATAAATGTAACGGTATTTTAAAGGAAAATAAACTCGATGGACAAAGGATTACTTTGACATTTGAAATGGCTTTCAAATATAATAGGTTTTAAATGTTTTGAGCTAAAACCAGTATGAATGGACTTTTTGAAGAGCAGGTAAATTAAAAAAGCTTCTTGAGAAAAGGTCACTAAATTAATGCAAATTACTCTTACCTTTTTTGCGACCTAAATACAGCATTCAATGAACTTTTTACACAAGTTTTTAAATGCGTGTCTGTTCTTGTGACCAACGAAATTGATTTCTTGACGCAAGAACAACAAAAATATGTTTTTAAATCTTTCAGACAAAAAAAAAATTAAAAACCTGTTTTTGCGTGTCATTTTGAAGGTCAATGTTATTATTTTATCCAACGAGACAATTTTTACTGAATTCTCCATCTCAAAAGCTTTAAAACGCCGTTAAATTTTTTTCCTCCCCTCTCGTTTTTTAGACATTTGATTTTGTTCTGTTTTTCCGAAATAAAACACTGTGCAGCGGCAGAACATCACAGCTGGCGAAACGGTGTTTGCTTCCTGTATTTTGATACATTTCACCTACTCTTCGAGTTACACAATTACGAGCTTACACTGCGTATTAAAAGTATAACTCACTATACGTGCGTTTACAGCTGTAAGCGCATTTTTGGTTGGGGGCGTACCATACCTTATCTCGGCTGTCGGTGTTGGCTATTCCGGCCTTTTTCCGTTTGGTTTGGCTGTTGCGGGCGCCGGTTCAAGCATTACGTGCAGTAAAAGTTTAGTGGCATCATACTGTGTTCGCTGACGTCTGTAGGCGGCCGTCGCCCCCACTATTCACACACTCGCTTCACTGCCTGCGTCAGTTTCCTATATTATTCAATACTTAGGGCCATTTTCTAATGTAAGCAGTAAAGTTGCCTTTACTAACAGGGCAGATAAATTGCTCCTCACTTTAAAGTGTTTTAATTTTCTTATCTTACCGGTAAAAATAAATTTGTTATTTCGTAGAGTGAAACTTCACTACAGTTCCGAGAGTGAAACTTCACTACATTCGTCATATAATTTCAAAGGTTGGCAATGCAACATAAGCAAATATAGAGCAAGAGCAACTGTTAGCAAAAACCAAAACCTTTGGTTGAAATATCTAATATAGCTGGCTCATGAACCAAAACCAAACCAAAATTTAAAGTTGGGTACAAATTTTAAAGGTTGCATCGGGTGAGCAACAGTTTATCGATTCGAGAATTTAATGCGCTGATGAGAAAACGAAAACTCGTATATCGGGACGATAAAGTGGCCGGTAAACTAAAGGTTAGATGAGAAAACGGCCCTTAAAGTTACTTGGCCATTAAGCCATTGACATTTTACATTTAATGTTCAACACGCGTGAAGCATATCGGTCATCCATATAGCCATTATATATATGTATGTATATATGTAGTAGTTTTGTGCTCGCTCTTGCCAGCGCTGTTGAGTGGGTGGTTGACTGTCTGTTTACGCTGATTTGTGCATCCGCACATTTTTTCTTTTGGCTTGTAATATATTGTTCAATTTGCATTGGTTATACATTTTTCTTGGGCTAAGCATGTTTCCACATAAATTTCAACGTGTTCTAGTGACTTTACAGGGTTATACATGCATGTATCTACCTCCTTCAATATTGTATGTATGTTGGCATGTCGCCTCACGAAGGGTGGTGTCAAACGTCTGTTGTTGATTTATATGCGATTCAACTTTTTGTTTGATACAATTTTGCGTTATTTCTAAGTTCATGGTACCCACACGATTTCAAGCGCGCTAGGAAAAGCTGCCTGCCATTCATGGTTGTTGTTCGGCACCCTTGTATTGGAAAGCAATTTATTATATGATTTGTTAGATGCTATCGCATATTTTGAAATATTGCGCAAAGACTATGGCCGCTGATTGGCATAAGTGATAGGATAAAACAGTTTGGTTAAATTTATGCTTCATCCACCTTTAATAAGCGTTTTTCTCAGCTATTCTGATACCTTGTTCATAGTTCTAACAACACAATCTACGTTCTTTTCTTATTTGCAGATGAAGAAATCGATGTTGTATCAGTCAGTGACAAGAAGCTACCCACAAATCCTTCGGATCGTGATCGTCGCGCCATCGAACACAAAGTCGGCTATAGGTTCTCAACAGCGCGAATTGTCAAGAACCCCAACGGCATACGCACCATACCACCACGTCGCCGCGGCTCCTACACTCTACCTTACACACCGGCCAGCAGTAGTCCGGTGAAGTCAGTTTCTACCTCACGTTATCCTTCACCCTCAAGCACACCCTATCACAGCGGTAACACCACCACCTACGCCAACAAATTTATGCTACAACAACAGGCTAACACACTAAGCACTGACGCCAATAATGGACATTGTCATATTATCACTAGCAGCGCTGATAAATCACGTAAGCGTCTCACCATGAACAGCAGTGCCAACAGCAGTGCTGACGTCAGTCGCGATCTGGATTATACGTTGCCGCCGAGCAAGAAGCATCGCGGTAAGAAATCATCAAAGCACGGCCATCACAGCAGTAGCATAAGCAGTGCGAGCAGCACGCAGAGTGGCGCCAACGCTGCTGACGCTGTGCGTCGTCACTTTAGTCTCGACGAGAGCGCTGACACCATTGAGAAGCGCAATTTGCACAATGATATGGAACGACAACGGCGCATCGGGCTGAAAAATCTATTCGAAGAGCTAAAGAAACAGATACCCAGCATTAAGGATAAAGAGCGTGCGCCCAAGGTGAATATACTACGCGAAGCGGCCAAGTTGTGTGAGTCTCTAACGCGCGAGAATCAGCAATTGTGTGATACGAAAGAAGTGCTGAGAGAGCAGATGCGTAAGCGTCAAGAGCATTTGGCGCGCTTACGTAGCCTTTTGAGAGATTGATAGCCGTTCATAGGTGTGCGGCAGACCAACGCGCAATCGGATGTTGGTGTTTGTGAGGATGAGGAGGAGCAGGACACTGAAGGTGACGTGCATGATTCAACTAACGGTAAAATCAACAATGTTGGCGGAGGAGAGCAGGAGGCGGAGAAGTGATGATTGCGTGCGTGTGAAAGGGTGGGCGGCGGTGTCGCAAACAGAAGCGTAGCAGCGGTCAAAGGAAGGCGCGTAAGTCAGTCAGTCAGTCAGTCGGTCAGTGTTCCATGAAGTAGTAGAGATTGTGAAAATTTTAAATTACGTTGAATTGTGTGCGTGCGGTGCGCGCTTGCCTTCTCGTAGTAGTTTGTTTGTAAAATATAACTATTTTGAATTTGCATGCAAGCGATTGGTGCCGCCGCCGCCGCCGCCGCCGCTGTCGTCGAGTGTCTTTGTGCGCAGCAGCGCCGGCAAGATATCAAACGGCAGGCGTGCGGCTCGCGCGCTCTCTTGCTGAAAGTGTGCAGAAGTTGAAGTTGGGGTAGTTGAAAGTGTTATTTGAGGATAGTCCGTATCAAATGTGTTTAACATTTATAAAATTAAATGATGATATGAAATTTTAGACCTTTAACTGTAAAAAAGCTACTAAACATGCTACTATTAAAACTATTTACTATAAACTAATTGATTGATTTTGTTAAAATGTAGACGATAAGTTAAACAATTTGAAACATTGAAAACTGAAGCAAAATACAACTACTTGTATTGGAAGAATTAGTATATTTAGACGCTGAAAAGAAAAAAAACAACTTTCTTCTAGTAACTTTTAAAATTGTTTTTTTTTTCGTAACTTTTTATGTGTAAATACTTATATACATACATTTATATACCTATGTATTTAAAATCAAGTTTTAGAGCGGTTGGGGGAGTTACATATTTCGATCGGCAAAGAGGACATTTGTTTATAAAATTTCATGCGATTGCGTTGTCCTCTTTTTCTTTATTACCTTAGCAAACGAAAAGCTCCGCCCTTTCGCGGCTTTAAGCATTGCTTGCAAAAAGTTTAATTTTGCTTCGATTGCAATGCCTAGTGATTAGTGTTTTTATATATACCTAATTATATTTTATTAAAATTACTATATATACTTACATTTGTATATTTGAAATTTTTGTGATATCATTTTTCTTAACCAAAACAAAAACAAACAACTTAAAGTTAGAGAGAAGAAAAACAAAAACGATAACAACAAGAAACTAATGTGACATGAATTTGAGTAATGTTAATGAATTGAATCAAGAAAAAAAAAACCTAACTGGACAAAACAAATATGTACCCCAAGAACCAGAACGAAGCAATGAAGAAGTTGATTACATATGTACAACTAAACTTTATACCTAAGAAACAAATAAAAAGTCAAAAATAGAGAATCGCAACGAATGCGGCTTAGAAGCGGATAAAACAAAAAATCTATATTTATGAAATTTCATAAAGCGTTTGATGAGCATAACGGGCAACAACAACAACAACAACAAAAACAAAGCGTACATTTACCACATTAATAAGGAACGAATATAGCGGCGGCATCTTAAGTGGGCAGCGGCGTTAGCGAGCGCTTGCAACTCCAGCGTTGCTGCGGCCACGCCCCGTTAAAAACTTCATTTACTTGAGTAATGAAGAAATGAATTTGAGGTTACAGGCTTATTTAGTAGTAACACAAAACTAATTCATTGTAAAATGCATACATACACATACATACATAAGTATGTATGAAAGAAGCGTATATGAGCTATAAAAAAAACAAAATAACTTTTGTTTACATCAATTTCACTTGATTTGATTTCGATTGGCTGTAAAACAGAAAAGAAGAAACACTAAAATAATGCTGAAATTTGATTTTTGCAAAATATTGAACATAACTTTTTTTTTAAATGAATAATTACATACAATACGTATAACTTTCAATATACACACACACCTATGCATACAAACTAGAACATTGTTAACTTACATAAATACGTAGAAATGTAGAAAAAAGAATTAAATATGAATAAAGCGCATTAATAAGCTACCGTTTTTTTATAATAATGAACACAAATCTTTCTCTTTTTTCTTAACAAACGATTTCGATTTGGTGATTATTTTTAAAACCACCCCACCAACAACAGCAACGGCAACTACCACAATTTCTGGAACTTGTTTACACTTATTTTTTAGTAGCTTTGTAGGTCGCTTATTTTAAGAAAAAGCAGGAGGCGAGAAGAAGAGAAGTTTTGAATTATTTGCTCAAAAAAAAGTGAGTTACTTTTTTTTCTGTTTTGCTTTTCTTAAATATAATGATTTTTAAATTTTGTAGCAAATATGTGAACCCAACTTTTTTTTTATTATCTATTAAATACTTATGCTACTTATATAATAAATATAAACCTAACACTAAAATAAATGCTACGTACATAAATACTATATATACACATACATATGTACGTATAATAATAAACTGCAAGTTGAGACGGGTTAGTCGTTTAAGTCGTACGTTTCAAGTCGCTGCGTGCGCCAATTTTCAGTGGATGAATTTCGAACTCAACTTCGGTCTCAACTGTTTAACTGTCGATGTAATTTTTACTAATAAGATTTATTTACGTGCACGTACATACATACATGAAAAATATAAATTTATATAACTAATATATCTATATACATACATACTAACATATATATATATATATGTATATGTATATGTATTAATATGTACATGCATACCTAAATATATAGATTTACAATATGTATGATATTAAAAATACTATATACTATTTATAGTACATACATACATATATTTGAAATTTATAGCATTGCATATGTATGCTAGTGGCAAAAAAGCAGCATAATGACACACACAACACAGTTAGATAAAGAACAACAAAAGAATACGCTATTATGTAGTGTAGTGTTTTAGCATTTTGAAGATCGGACGCATTTTGTTTTTTTTTTTTTAAATAAATAGATACCTAGATTTAGTAGCGAGTGGTGCCTTTTTTTATACATTTGCTATTGCATATGATTTTTACGCTCTTGGACAATTTTCAATTCTTTTTTTTTACACACATCGAACCGACATACTCACAAAAAAAAATACGATTTTTTTTATTATAAGTGATTTTTTTGCCGCGTTCGGCAAAATTATTTTTCGAAAGCGTTTAGGCGTGCGCTATACGCGCTTAAACCCATTTTCAGTCCTGAAAATGCCATAACTCTACATAATTTGCTCAAATTGTTTTTAAACTGAGCCACTCGCTGCTCTCGCTTATACATACCTAGATTACTATATGTGTATATCCATACATATACAAATTGATACCACTAACGTCAGCGTAAAAAGAAGGATATTTTTTAATAAAAACTTAAATTCGTACATAATACAATAAACGGCTTGTAAATATGATTACAAAATTATAAAATAAAAATAAAATGTATTGCAAATGCTTATGATAATACGAATACAATTGTTTAAATAATAAATATATGTACATACATACATATATAGCTATATAATTAATAGTTTATAGCACTATGAAGAAAAAAAAACGCAAGAAACAAAAAGCGAAAGAAAAATGAAATCTCATTTAATGAATTTCGAAATGTCAAGCAATTTCGGTGCATACAAAATATACAAATACTAAAAGAGAAAAGAAAAAACCACAGCAACTTCCGGTACAACAAAAAAGAATACCCTTTTTATACAAAAACCAATGTCCATAGAAATATATATAACTACTTAAAATATGTTTACACATCTGTTCACAGAAAACACACAGCCACACACATTGCAACACACCCATACATATATATGTACACATGTACAATACACTGCGTACACATAGTAAGTTTATAACAAAAATTCTATTTTTCTACAAAGGTAAGAGAGACCCATAGTGAATCATTTTTTGCACCGTGCAAATTACTAAAATAAAAATTTAGAAGAAAAAACTAAGCGAAACGAAATGAAGTTGTACATGCGTTTATATACATACATATATTTTCTTATTTTTTTTTTGTTAATTTTTTTTATGAAACTTTAAGTATATTATACATTTTTTATATTTTATAATAATAATACAATATAGATATTTATAGCAATTTTGGTTTAAATAAAGCATTTGAAATCTACAAAAGATTTTGCATAATAAATACATAAATCATGCAAATTAACCACACAGTGACTCAAAAAAGCGTGCATTGTCGTCTGTTTTTTAAGTAAACATTGTTTTTTTTTATACTTATTTTTATAAAAATTTTGTTCATGCTATAACCAAAACTATACAAATAAAAGTCCCAAAAAAGTAAAAATTACAAAAACTCGACAATTTTTCATTAAAATTTCCAACTTTTTCATTTTAATTTTTGGAAATTTTTGGTGTATGTCGTTTTGTTTTGAGCGGTTCTAAATATGCGGTGTCAAAAAAAAATTAAAAATCATCGCGAATTCTTAGCAGCTTCAAACATGCACTTTGTTTTACTATAAAATTTCATGCGCTATAAAACTGCATACCAAAATTTCATGAAATTTGTTTGAATGGGTCTAAATTTTGTACTAAGTTTGAAACTTTAATTGAAATGATTTTAGTTTTAAGTACCATGCACAAAATTTTTATAAAAAAATTAAAAAAAAAGTGTAACCTGAAAAATATTACGAATATTAAAAAAAAAAATCACTTGTGAACGCTTCTTTGAGTCACTGTATCTAGTTTGCAAACATCTAACTATGTATTCAACTAAAAGATGAAATATAATAGAAAATCACAAATATTGTAAACAACAGTTTCAGTTGGAATTGAAGCGAAAGCTCCACCCTAAAGCGCATTAGCCTACAGCAAACACAAAAATAAGAAACAAAAAATATATTTTTGCAATGAGTTGCATTAAATTACGAAAATAATTTATAAACAAAAATAGGTAGAGCAACCGAAATCTGAAATCCTCGCATAAACTTTTCATATTTTTTTACACACCTGAAAAGTTTAGTTTTTTTTTTTATATTTACAATACAAACCGAAAACATTCAAAAGCATATATAAATACACTGTAAAAATAGCAAAAACAAAAAACCAAAAAAAAAAAAATAGCAAACAAAATTGTTAACAAAAAGAAGAAAAACTAAGAAAATAACTTGAAACTTGCAATGCAACTTTTCGCTAGTGAATATTTTTGAAACGTAAGTTGAATATACAATTTGGAATATAAAAAAACAAAAACAAAATGCAACCCAACATTTATGTAACGGCATTTTTAGTTGAATTCTTCGCTAAAAACAAAAATTACTACTTTAAAACGAAAACTTAATGAATCGAACGAATACAAAAACAAAACACTTAAAAATTTTAATAAATAAATAGCTGACAATAAAATGCTTGTGCAGATTTATTTTTTCTCTATTCACATTATTTAATTTATTGCCATTCGCAAACACCTAAAACTACATACATACATACATAATTATCTTGAACTTTACATTATTTTCTCTCGGTGCATGGCACTATTCAAGCTGCTCTGGACCGGCGTTTGGCTCTGCCTAAAATTCGCTTCAAATGCAAACACGCAAATTCGCTATTCGTTATACTCGACTCGCTTAATTCGTCAATTTTGTCAGATATTCAAATTCAATTACAATGCATACATACACATACATGCAATAATTTTTATGAATCGCATTCATCGTTCGATTTCGATTTGGTTTGGCTCGCGGTTGACCTACAAACAACTAAATCATTTGTGTTCAAAACTCGCTCAGTTTGTGGTATATACAATGGACTTTAATTTTTATTTTTCATTTTTCAAAATAATGCTATACATACATATATATATATATAGATATGTATATACATATATTTTTTCGGTTATTGCTAAATCATTCACGTGTTTTTTTATTATTACATATGTACATGCTTACATATGTAGTTACCTATGTATGTGCTGCTATAACTGCGATCTACGTACGTATATGCATACATAACTACATTTTTATTTAGCTTTAATTTCTTTTGTTCTTGTTTATGATTAGCTATTAAAGCGCTTTTTTTATCTAAAAGTTTTCTATTTGAATTCTAGTTGTATGTACAAAATATTACTTAATTGTAGGAGAAAGCAAAATATTAAAAATTGTTTGTGAAAAAAAAATGCAAAAACATGTAAATAAAAATGAACTTTTTTGAAGTTGAAAGTAAACAAAAGCACAAAAAATGCACAATTGGCTTTATTATTTCGAAAAAGGAGATAATGGGAATTGTTTTGTTTCATCCGGTTTTGGTTCATTTCTGTGTTGCTTTGGTTTTCTGCGGCGTTTGGTGTTCGGCTGGGTATTTTACTGACTACGTTGTGTTACTTTATTGCGTATGCCGATTTGTGCATTTTCGTAGCTTCTGCTGCATTTTCAGCTGGATTTTAGAGGGCAACACTGATTTCGATAGACCTCTTTTTTTGTGCTGATTACGAATCCGTAAGTATAAAGTCTCCATAAGCTACAGATTTTGAGAAAAACTTCACGCTTCACGAAATATACTCAGAAGTATAAGTTTTACAAATTATTAAAAAATACGGTCCTTATTGTCGACTGTTGGGATCTGTGTATACCGGATCAGTGCTGGGGGAAAAAAACGACGAACTGCGCCGCTACTTCTTACAAAACGATAATGCACTAGCTCAATCTGTTGAAATTACAAGTAAGGGCTTGTTCGAGTTGCAATCACAGCCGCAGTGTTGCGCGAATTATTCAAGTATCACGTTCTGTGTGAATTTCTAGTAACTTAT